AATAATCAATTTTAAACAAGTTTTAAGAGTATCCCTATCTGTTCACCCTATTTTCACTCTAAAATATTATTAAAAATTCAATTCCTTATTTTAAGAAGTCACCTTTTCATCTATTTATCTCAACAAACTCTTTATTATTTTTCTGTTTTATTAAAATATTATTTTCAATTATTTTTCTATCCAGTCAATGTGCAGTCGCACTAAAAAAAATGAAGAAAAAGATATAATTGCATATTTGAGAACAGCAATGCTAGGTATCATGAAAAATCTTTCATGAAAATAATCATGAAAGTTTTGTGATCCTTGGATTACACTTAGAATAAAGCACCACACACTAATCAAGATAATTCAAAGATCATAACTCTTTCATGATCATTTTCATGAAAAAAATTTTATAATCCTTAACTTTTCTCATTTGAGAAAGTTATAGTAGCTCCCCATAAATAAGGAGGGATTGTAACAACTCTTATATTTAAGAGTTACATAAGGAAATTGCTGGGAATAATTTTTGACAAAGATCTTATTTTGACTAAAAAGTAATATAAGAAAGTGTTTGGAAATAGACTCAATAATGCACATTAAGCTATAATCACTCAACATTTTTGGTCAGCCAACTCCACAAATAGGTCTTACTTTTGTTGGACTCCCAAGAAAATGGGTCCCAATCAATTTAGTACTTTGAATTCCCATTTATCAATGCTCGGATCAAAAATCTAATTGGCTGTGGAAGATGACCTAATAATTTGAGAAATTAGTGTAATGCCCAGAGTGAGTGTTTGGAAAGTAAATTTTTTTTTTTTTTTGTTTTTTAAGTTGTGAGATATCGGAGGAAAAAAAAAAATTTGTTTAGAAAGATAGTTAGATTTTTTTCTGATTAGATGTGATATTTGTGAGAGAAAAAGTGAAATGATTATGAGATTTGATATAATATTTTATTTAGATTTGTTTTTTTTTAAAGTTTTGTAATCAATTTGTCTTTTAGTGAAAAAAATAAAAAATAAATCCTTTCCAAACACTGAAAAAGAGTCAAATTTTTAATCAAATAAATGGCTAAGAGTATCTCCAATGGTTGTTGCTATATTGGGGTTGCTATTGTTATAATTTGGCAATGAATAGTGTTATTTTGTCAAATTATAGCAATGGTGCTCCAATGGTCATTTGTTATTTTTGACAAATCTCAACCAACTTTCCCTTCAACTTTGTAGGTATTGTTTGGATATAGGTTTTTTGTGATTTTATTTTTGTTTATTTTTTTGTCTTTTATAACAATTTTTTACCTGTTTGTTAAAAAACATTATATATTTATATTATTCCTAACTAGACAAATATAAAAAATAAAAAAAATGAAAAATTGGAAAAATTGAAAAAAATTATATATTTGTATTATGTCTTTTTATTATAATAAAATTATCTTCATTTAATATCAGCTAATGTATTTTATCTTTTTATTGCCTTCATTTGAAAAAATATATTTATTTTTTTGCATTATACTTTATTGAAAATATTAAATAATAATACAAATTAGTGAACATTATACATTGAAAAAATAATATTACATTGTGAAGTACAAAATACTTCTTTTTTTTTTAAAAAAAAAAACATGAAATTTCATTACAAAATAAAAAATACATTACAAATAAAGACTAACAATTACATCAAAAAATAAATGATATTGCAAATTTAAAAAATACATTATCCCGTAATTATTCATCAGGAGGTAGGGGGAAATAAAAATTTGGGCTGCTCACATTTAAGGATCACTTGGCGAAAATCTCATTTTTTCGCATTGTGTAATACGCTTTTATCTGAGGGTCCAAATGAGAAATATCCGTAGTCATTATTTAGTGTTCTTCCTTTCTCATCTCAAACTCATGTTTTTGCATCTCAAGTTCTTTCATCTGCTGTAGTGCTTGAATCATTTTTTCTTCTCTTTCATCTTTTTTCTTTTCTTTCTCAGCAAGGTAGTGGTTAAATGTATCTAATTGTGTACTCATTTTTTGGACTTCAGTTTCAATAACTTGATTGCTCCGAAATAATTCTTTTGCAGATTTCCTACCCATCGGCCTTTTACCCCTTGCAGAGACACTACCCTCACTGACAGTTGGGTTGTTACCGACACTTGGACTGGTGTCATCTTCAAGAGAAATGCAGTTATCCATAGAGGAATCAGGGTTTGAATTAGGAGAAAACGGTGTATGTATTCTTGACTTCACCGTGTTCGTAGGAGTTACATCTTGCCACCTGATATTGTTTTGCAAGATTGGCCAACAATGTTCAAAAAGAAAATGTTTGTTTTCTTCTTGACGGTATAACAGTTTTGCTTGAAGCATCTATATCAATAAAATATTAAATTAATTAATCAGTTAATTTTTATGTAAGACAAAAGAAAAAAACTAACATAATAAATGGAAATGAAATCTTACTATATCAACTTGTGACGCCCACTTGGATGTAGATTTTCGACTTGCGCTAGACACCCACGAAATTTGTTGCAACATTTCATAATTACACCCCATCGAGATGAGATAAACACTTGTATTCTTGAGTGATCATTCTGCAATGAACAATAATTTTCCAAAATTCTTCCCAAAAAATAAGCATAAGATTGTGAATTCCCAACAATTGGGTCTTCAGTAATGTGACACCAAGCTCGACAAATTGCCACATCTTCTTGAGTGGTGAATGATTTTCCTCTCTTTATTTTTGATGAACCTTCCATAGTGATTGTATGAAAAAACAAAGAAGAAAATAATTTGTGAAGTTTGGTGTGACATAAAATTCAGATAAAGAGAAGAGAAAAGAAAAACGAAATTTAAAATGTTTTGTGTGAAATGAAATTGAGATTAAGAATTTTTATTTATAGAAATACAAAATATGACCATTTGTAAAAAAATGCCCGTTAATTTATAACTGTTGTTTGAAAGAGGAAGAAAAAGAGTCGTTGCTCAAACCCATGTGCATCCCTTTCACAAAATAGCACCGTTGAATTATATAATCCAACCGCTCATCATCTATCTATCTAGAACAATCTGTGCATTCCAATATCTATCTACTTATATACCTCCTGTTGAGTCATATGTATCTATCTATGACACCAAGCGCTCTCTCTCTCTCTCTCTCTCTCTCTCTCTGCTCTCACTTCATTGCCCTCACCGATCTTCATCTCTCTCTCCTCTTTGCTCATCTCTTCTCCTCAAATCTTCCAAATCAAACCCTAACCAAACCGATCTTTCTCCACTGATCTAGTTTCAGTCTCTCTCTATACCTCTCTCGGTCTCCATCGATGAAGCCGAAGCTGGTTTCAGTCACCGATCGGTCTCCATCTACCTCTTTCTCTGTCTCACTCTATCCCTAATCTCTCTGTCTTCGATCGGTGAATTCTGAACAGATCGACGACTGTTTGAAACAGAGAGAGAGATGAGACCGAGTATATGCTCTGTGTCAGTCGATGAATCTCTCAAGTAGGACGATGAGACCAGGTTTTTTCTGAATCTATTTTTTTTTCTGAATCTGTATTCTGAATCTGTTTTTTTTTTAAATCTGAATCTGTATCTGTTTTTTTTTTTTTTTTTGAATCTGTTTTGTAATTTTTTTGAATCTATTCTGACATGAGAGCATCTCAAATTTGGCAAATTATAGCAACCATCGGATCTATTTTGGCAAATTTGAATCTATTTTTTTTGCCAAACCAGGTATAAAAATTCTGAATCTGTTTTTTTTTTCTGTGAATCTGTTTAATGAATCTGTAATTTTTTGATGAATTTGAATCTGTGAATCTATATTTGAATTTGTGAATCTTTGAATCTGTAATTTTTTGATGAATTTGAATCTGTGAATCTTTGAATCTGAATTCTGGATCTGTAATTTTTTTTCTATGAATCTGTTTGATGAATTGACTGAGTTGGCATGGTGGGAAGGAGGGAGGGAAAGAAGGAGGGAGGGAAACCGTTGGTTTTGGCTGAGTTGGCATGAATGGCAACTGCCAAAGCTTGTGTCAAATTGGACACAAGCTTTGACATTTCTCAAATTTGGTAGCTGCTATGTTTTGCCATTGGAGCATCAAAATTCAACACAACTGCTATATTATAGCAATGGTAGCTCCAATGGCAAACCATTGGAGATGCTCTAAGGAGTGTTTTGGAAAGTTTGTAAAAGGCGGACTTTTTGACTTTTTGGAGACTTTTTTGGCAAAAAGCTAGCTTCTTTGGCAAAAAGCTAGCTTCTTTTGGGTAAAAAAGCTAAAAAGTCAAAAAGCTGACTTTTTTAGCTTGTTGCCAAATTGAGCCTAAATGTCTTACATAGGCGTAGGACCTATACTTTTGTAGACGTCACATCTATGAGACATTTAATCATTTATTTGATAAAAAATTTGAGACATATAATATTTTCTGAAAAATTATTTGATAGTCTTCAAACATTTTACACCATTCAAATTTATGATTACTTATCCTATTGTCTCTTTTAAAGAGACAAAAATATTCCAACTATTTAATTCAATGAAAATTAAATTCAAACACCACTAGTTCTTGCCGAAGGAGAACTAAATATTTTTTTTCCCCCAATAATTACTCAAATCAGAAAGGTTTTAGCAGATCCCAAGTGAATCCCATACAACTCTATGGGTTCCATAGATGTAGGCACAATAATATATTTGAGGAATATAGCTCCTACATCTCTAAGCAGATGGAGATATCAGTATGAATTGACACTACTGGAGTGGACATCCATTATTTGACTAGCAAATTATTAGATCAGTTGTGTTTGAAACACGAAGTTTAGTCTGGTAAAAAAAATTAATTATAAATATTTTAAAACTATTCTAATATCATTCTCACTACAATAAAATTATTGCAACATTTAAATTTCTAAAACTCTCAAATAATAAGAAACTACTCATAATGAAAGAAAATTCTTTCTAAGATTTATTTATGTAGTTAATTAGGAGTTGACCTATAGTATAAGTTGAAAATATTTTCAGAATCATAGGCTAAAAAATAAACTTCTAAAAGTTGAGGGCAATCACATAAATAGTAACTGATCACATTGAGTAGTAACCAAGTGTAAACGAAGGATAACAATTCATAAACTAGGGATTAAGCGAAATACAGAGTGTAGGGTACCCAAAAATAACCTGAAATGCCTTGAATACAGCTTGCTTAAACAGTGTAGAGGCAGTTCTGGCTTTTCTGGGTCATTCCATGCCAGGAGGACAAAAAGGAGGATGATGTTCTTATCTAGTTTTGATCTAAAACCTAAGTTCTTGTTGTTCAGAATGTCAGACAAATGACCAGTTGATGAACATGAAGCAGATGCAGTGAGCAGTTTCGTCGTCACTTAACACCTTCCAAGCTACTGCTCTCTCGTAGGACACTGGCCTTCCCATGCTTGACAAGCAGACACCACCTTGAAGACAAGCGAATCCCTGCCGGGAAAACATTGGGAGATTAAGACAAAAGCAATAGATAAATTCAATATTTTGAAAAAGAGAAACAGTATAGTTGTATTTGGATTTATGGATTTGAAATGAAACAATTTGAACATTAATCATTCAAGGAGAAACAACACAAAGGGACCCTTTTCCTTCCCATTCAACAATCCCTCTTCAAATTCTTAATCCAAACACAGCCTAAGATACTTCTAGACAAGGTTTCTTTGGTAGAGTTCCATATCATATCTAAGCTGTCTCCAAAAGTAATTTTCTCATGTCAAAACTTTAATTGCACGTCCTGTCTCCTACTCAAAACTTCAACTAAACAAAATTTGTAACTATGTTCCAACGTAATATGTACATTATCACAAATGCCATGGTTTCTGATTAGTCCAAGAACAGCACTTAGTTGTGTCACACAAGAACTGGAAACATATAGTTGTAAGTTATGCATTGAACAGTGTGTAAAAGAAAAAAAGACAAAGATGATAACTGTTGGCTGTTTTTGGTTTCCAAGGAGATTGAGGAAAGAAAGCAACAAATGTTATATTTCATAAAATTTCTAAACATTTTCCCAACAACCAAATTAAGCTCTGTGCAGTAACTTATATACTTTGTTATAGATTTTGAAGGACTGAACCTGTTGCATAATCTGTGGGAGCTCAGAGGAGAGGGCCTTTCTTCCATGGTCATCAAGAATCTTCTCCAATGTAATGTCTTGAAGTGCTACCAGTGTTGTCTCAAGCATATCAAGTCCTGCCTGATTTGCAAATGTAAAAACTGGCAATGCCTGCACAAATCATGTATAAGGTTATAATGGCCCATTCTTAAGCATACTGCAAGCCATTTGTATATATGTATAGAAATACAATATATTCATATACAAGGAAGAATCCAAGAACTATAGACATGCATCTGAGGATGCCATGTCCATGTCTGACAAGTGTTGACTTTTGAAACCCAAAATCCTGACTTCAAATTTTCTTGTGAAACCATGCAGCTTCATCAAATAGATATTAGAACTTTCTATTCCACTTCATCTCCAACACGTAAATGTAAACGATGAATTAATTGTTGTTATTTTCATTTAGTAAACATAAGTTTATTTGTCATTTAAACAATTAATCTTGTTAACTATTGTCATATTATACATACATACATATAATTTTTTTTTTTTGGTAAGTAGTTTATCACCATGTTAGTTTCTTGATTGTCTAAAAATTATTGTGTTGGCGTGTTACCGTGCCAACATTCATTGTAGTGCTTCTCAAGAAAGAATTGTAGGCAACATTTTACACATAGATCTGTAATATGCAAACAATAGCAAAATACTTGAAAGAAATGTATACAAAACTAAGTTCAAAAGAAAAGGACTGGAGAAAAAAGGAACAAAAATCATATTTATCACATGGAACATCGAATCAATTTTGATTTATTAAAATTGAACATTATATTCATAATATTCAAAAGAAGATATTTGAGTCACTGACAAAACAAAAAAAATAAAAGCAAAAGCAAAAAATGACCTCTGAGATTCTTATTTTTTCTTTTGATAAAATTTAGAAGGTTGAAGGAGCTTACTATTATATGTAGAAATCCTTCACAACGTAAATGGAATATATAACATTGAAATAGTAAGTTAATTTGTTGCATATTATAGCTCTGTTGCCATTTACTAATAGAATTGAAAAAACAAGATTAATCAACTCAAATCCGTAGCAAAGTTTTTGTTTTTTTTCTACATTATTCGCATCTTTAATATTCACATGTTTCAGCAAGTAAAAGAAACATTTTCATTTTTTGCACAGATAATTAAATGTTAAGTTCAGGCATTATTTCTAAAAGAAACATAGTGAAACCATAAAGGAAGAACATTCATATTTTACACCCTATAAAGACAGACAACAGAAATTTGTTCTCAAAATGAGAAACTAAACAATCGGAAGAATACCTTCAAAGAGCAACACATCACAGCATCTGAGTGATGCCAAAGTGACTTGAGGATCGATTCACTTCCATCATTATCAGGTTTAAGTAGCTCCACGCCTAAAAAGCACCTGTCCAAGAAGACAACAAACAGACCTTAGCTGTAAGAAAATCCTGTAACAGATGACCCTAATTGTCATGCATGCTCTTTGGCCTCACTATCAAACATCCAAAGTGTGTCCAAAACTTAAAATGTTAAATGACATGTTGGTAGCAAGCCTAGTTCACTCACAAAGAATAAGCTTAGAAAGTCGAACTAGAATTCTCATCACAATAAAATGGCTTCAACGCATGATTTTATAAAGGAATGAATATCAGTTTCGGTGTGGTAAATTTGGCTATTCGTGCCAGCATGAAGAACATCAATTACATTTCTCACATAGCAATTACAGTGATAAATTATTCAAAACACACACCTGTAACTGTGACAGATCCAACGAGCAAGTGTTTGAGCTTCTGGAGTGCCTGGCAGTGACCGTAAACCAGCATGAGAACCAAGATGAGAAGGAGAGAGTGCCAATGCCACCCTCTGAACAGATGCTATGATACTGCGCACATACTGACGGGCCATAGCTGCTATATTTTCCTGAAGGTGGATCTCGAATGCAAATTGAAACGCTATTGTCATAACAGATTTTCCATTCCTGCCATGACCAGAATGATCACCAGAACCTCTATTTCCAGTTGGTCCAACCTCAAGGGAAGATGCAAGATCAAGGGTACGATTTGGACTAGAGGCATCCTGCATCATGTTGAAGATGAGTAAGGAACAAACTCAACACAGGCAAGAGCATAGAAGAAAACATTTTTAGGTTATACCAGACAACATAAACACTTACTGTTCCAGAATCAAGAGGAATTATGCGGAAACCAGATGGTAGAAGAGGTGCATCATCAGAGAAAGAGGCATCAATTGGAGCAAAGATCAGTTCTGCACAGGTACCAATGGCATTCTCGTCCACTCCACCACAAAGCTGGGGGATCAAATTAACCAGGACAAGTAACTATGAATGTTGTATATAATTTTTAAGTGCCCAATAATCAACAAAAGGTTACAGCTACTTCAAAATATTTAAACTAATGCATGAACATAATTGTGTAAACATACAATATTTTCCAGAAAAGACTGCATCCTGTCTAATGGACCTAAAGGATGCTAGCTAGCACCAATTAGTCCACATGTACAATTGCGTTTGAAAAATAAAATAAAATATATTCCAACAATTAGACTGATGTTGGACATTCACTAACATGTAGCTGCTAGATCTGAGACCACACACACACACAAAAAAGAAAAAGAAAAAGAAAAAGAAAAAGAAAAAGAGAGAGAGAGAGAGAGAGAGAGAGAGAGAAGAAGAAGAAGAAGAAGTTGGTCAATGAATAAATTAGTTTCAGGCAACGAATTATTTATCCAAAAAAAGTTGGGAATTGAATAGTTTTGATACCCTACCACAAATAGATTTAATTATTTGGGGACTAGTGTCTTAGTAAAAGATTGAAACACAAGCACCTTGACAAAAATTAGTATCGACTAAAAATCTTATACCAGAATCACAAATGAAACTCTTATAAAGAATGGGGGTGGAAACTTTTTTTATGAATGTGTGAGATGCCTATAACAACATAATAACGGCCATTCTCTGAGAGGTGTGCAATTGGTATTTCTTGGCATCAAGACATCAAAATAGAGGAAACTACTTACTTGCAGGAGAAATATGTCTCCAGGCATAATCATGTCGTCTCGATAGAGTCCAAAATTTTCAAGCTTGATTACTTCCATGAACTGTTTTGAAGAAGTAACGCTAAATAAACATACAACAGTACTATAGAACAGCTCAATAGGAATAACATTTTTAACAGCCATAAATTGTGACCAAATTACTTGCCTCTTCATGCTCAATTGTGTGAGACAATGGAAGAATAACCTGACCACCAAAAGATCCAGCTTGAGGCCCTGCCAAATTACAAGGACCAGCTTTAACAGAAGCAGCTGAATAAGCATCAATACCACTATCTGCCCATTCTGATCGGTGTTCCCGCAAGAATCTAAGAAGTATTGCAGGAGGCACATTCTGCCAAAATAGGAAGAAACAACAAGAGAGAATTATGAGAATTGAGAAACACAACAGAAAGAATATGAATGGTTAGATAAGGAAAGGAAAGGAAAGAAATCCTAGAACTAGGAGAATAACATTCCAGTTCCAAAAAGAATTCTAACATTAAGGCTGCGTTTGGATTGTGGATTTGGAAAGGAAAAGGAAAAGGAAAAAGGTAAGGTGAAATGTAGATATATTTCATTCACATTCCACCTACCTTTTACCTTTTCCTTTCCAAATCCGTACCCATTTCCATGATCCAAACACAGCCTAAAGGGGAAACTGGAACCAAATATTAGCTATAGCAGTGAAGGGAAACAGATTGGACTAATTGCTAGAGCCTTATCACCTTTTAAATAATAAGTCATCATATCATCTCTTATAGAGTCAACACAAGCTTTAACCTCAGACATTAAACAAGAATTTAGGCTTAAGAATTGTTTCAAGTTTATTCTCTAATCCCAAAAACAAGAAGCGAGATTCAGCACTTCCACGATTCAGCTTTCATTCATAATTTCAACCTCACTGCCATGTTGGGCACATTCCTATTGGATACTAGAGGGACTTGGGACCATGGGCCTGAAAGAAAAATTTTCTAGTTGCAACATTTCTCCAGACTTCAAATGCTAAACCAAGCATTATTTGTTCTCCATTAGTCCGCAAAATTTTTGACTGGAAGTGTTGATATATTGCCTCAAGGTTATGACCTTACAACGAAACTATTTCTACATTTCGGATTCACACAATTTGGAAGGGATTGAAAAGGAACGACAAAAATATTTCATAACTAAACCTTACTTGTAAAAGCATGGATGCTTTGGCACATAAGACCGCATTGCTCATAGATGGAAATCCATTAGCATACGAAGGATTTGCACCCATCACTTTGCCAGGAGATGAGTTCACAAGAAGGGTGACATCATCAATGCCATCATTTTCAATTATAGACCATCCTTCATCTGTGAACCCATTAACGGCTTCATTAAAACCCCTGCACAACAAAATATGTAAGATTCACATGTAACGAAGGTTAGCCAACCACTGCATGGAACAATCACAAGAATTAAATAAACTTACTTGCTCAATCTCTGGCTAAGTGCACGCAGAGCTGCAGGTCTTCTCCCCCAACCAGTGACAGTTGGCTGAGAAACCTCTTGTGAAATCTGCCTCAATTGGCGTAAAGCCTGAATGAAAATGATAATGTCATACTAGATATATCATAGTTTTTAAAATGTGTTGTTCCAAGTTTAAAGGAAACTCATTAACTAAATATATCATTCACTGCAGGAGTTAATTCAGCTTATAAAAGTCGTTGGTATTTTCAAGTGCAATTTATTAAAATTCTGAGACTTTAAACTATTATGAGGATTAAACAGAAAAGAAGTATTTTTACCGCCATTGTTGTCCTTTGAGCAAGCAAGGTTGATGACTCATACAGTGGACGCAATACTTCAGGTACACTCCATGGCTGGTTGAGAAACTCATTAAGTTAGAATTGTTATTTCACCAAGCACAAAAAGGGTGAACTTAGATATATGTAGTTGGGTAACATACCTCTAAATCCATATGATCAACAATGTGGATGATCGATCCACCCCCTTCACAGGGTCTTATCAGATACCCACTTGGCAGCATCCCTGCTCTCACAAAATGCTGCACTGGTGGCATACTGGGACCATTTTGAGTGTTGTTCAGTGATCTTTCACAGACCTAATAGCATGGAGCAGAATCAGGACAATTCCATTGAAAATATTAAGAAAAACAGAACAAGGAAAAGGCTAATTTCTATATTCTTGCAACATGAGGAGTCAGAAGACACATACCACAAGGCTTCCATCCTCCAAAACAGATGTATAGCGCAGTAACCAGAAATCACGAGCTGGAGCCAAAGTAGTTGGCGCATAGACCTAAATTAAGTATACAAAATAAAGGTTTGTTAAACAAGTCAACAATTGATCCTAGACCAGATATGATAGCACCAAGTGATGAACACCAACCTGCATGTAAAGTAGTTCAATGGTTCCGCTGTTTCCAGTAGACAACACATTAAGAACGTCCACAGCTCGACAATCATGATACCATGAAGGCCGATCCTTGAGGATTTCAACCACCTGGTGGAATGTCAACAATTAAAATTTTTCCAAAATTCCATCAAGTGAAATGTCCCATTGCCAAGTGTGGGACAGAGACTTACTCTTGTAGGTTCTAGACCAACAAGGCCGCATGCACGAGCTGCCACTCCAGTGCAACCATGAGAAATAGCAATGATTCCGATGGAATCCGGACCAGGCTGTGCAGATCAAAAAGAGATCATAAGAACAAGGACTAAAAAACTCATAGTTGATCCGAAATTTTGAAGTATAAGTACAACAATATAGAACAAAGAGAAGATACTTTGAAAAAAAAAAAAAAGAAAAAAAGAAGAGAGAGAGAGAGAGAGGTGTTAGGGACACTAACACCCTTACTAACAATCTTACTAACACATTTACAAACTTTGTATGGGTCCCGCACCATATGATGGTGGGTCCCACCAAGGCTTTGTGAGTGTGTTAGTAAGAGTGTTAGTGTCCCTAACATTGCTGTAAAAACGTAGTTTGTATCCTCAAGATAGATAAGCCTGAGATGTTGTATAGCCAAGGATCATGCAGTTTTGATGATGCCCATAAATAAAGAGAAAACATCCTATTTGTTTTGTCTTTTTATGAAAAATGGAATTTTGGAGGATTTGGTCAAAGCCCCCTCATAATAAAACTTTAATGCATTAAGGACAAGTACGAAAAGTTTTTCTTGAAAAGTTGAACACACACTGCTATTATCAAAATATTAAACTTTAAAATAATATAACTTTTGATGTAGATATTAATTTTTTATAAAATTAGCACTTTTAGAACCTTCTCATCAAAATCTATCAAATAATATCCATATTGACTATGAAATTCTTAAAATAAAAATAAAAAAAATTATTACCATCAAAATTGATGTAAACAGTAACATATTACTTTGTCGCACAGTAACATGTTACTCTGTTTAACAGTAATATGTTATTCCAATTCAAAGTACATGTTATTCTAGCAATATTGTCCAAGAAAAAAATATATATATATATATTTTACTTTGTCCTCACTCAATTATATGTTTCCTACTTAGGAGGTTTATAAAACAAAATAAATTGAGCTGTCTTTTTCATCAAACAAGGGTCTAATGAAGGGGTTTTGGCTAAATTCCTTATAAATTTTGCAGTGAACCTAATATTTGATTTCAAAAATAAGGGACAAAAGAGAAGAAGTAAAATAATGCAAACAAAACTTTAATATTTCCAAAGAAAACATTGAAAAATAATTACAGAGAATAAAGAAAGAAGTATAAGGTAAAGCAAAAGGAATTTATTATATCAAAGGTGGAAATGTGGGATAGTGATTGAGATGAAGTGGTTTGGATGTTGCGTAGTAGGTTAGCAAGGTTCCTTTTTTTGTCTATTGGTTTACACCAATAATTTAATAAAGTGGAATGGAGAGAGGATTAAGACATTAAAAAATTGACATTAAAGAAAGCATTTACCTTCATCCCAGGCATTTGGACCCACTCCACAGCGGTTCCAGTGGCCTTTGATAGAAACTCTGTTAAAGTCTCCTCAGCAATAGACAAAAGTCTAGAAAACAAACAAGCACAATTCCTTAAGGCATATGAAAAATATTTGTGTAAAGAACAAGAACAACAATGGAACCAACAAGAACAAGAAGCACTCTCCACTGACCCTGCGGGACTTGCATCCCTTGGTGGATGCTGCGGAGTCAAGTGCTGTTGACCACTTGTCACCACCGATTCGCAACTCGTGTCTGTGGTGGCAAGGTTTGCCTGAAACAAAGGAAAAAGATCCGTAACCCATAGTTCAGAAAACGCGAAAACAAAGAAACCCAAATTGTCATAAGCATTTAATTGGTTCACAAACTTAATAACTCTTCATTTTGTTCAAAGAGAACTAAAATGTTCTAACTTATGCAAAAGAAAGCAATTCAGAAAAACGAAACAATTGTCATAGTGAGATTTCCTTACAAATTTTTATTTTCTTGAGCCTCAATGGGGGTGAGAACTTCAAATACAAAAATTCAATTTCTTTTCTTTTCCAATATTTTCTCAGCCACCAAACAATCAATAAGAAAAAGAGAGCGGGTTTTTACGTTCTGAGTTTGTTGGCGGAAATAGCTGTTCTCATACACCAACTGAGATACTTGCTTCTGCAACCTATCATTTTCCTCCATCAAAAGCTTATTCATTGCAGTTAACTTCCTATTCACTGTTTGGAGACGTGATGCCTCCTTTCGCTGCTTCTCTCTACATCTGTGTATAGGAATTATACATGAACACCATAGCAATACAAATTAATTAATGATCAAACATCAAAAGACACCCTAAAAGGCGAAAAAATTTCAATCAGAAATTAGATTTGAATTCCATAAACTACCTTCGGTTCTGAAACCAGACTTTGATCTGCTTTGGATCAATGTTGGAGAGAATTGGGCATTCGCGAATCAGCTGTTGCCGACGAAGTGAACTCGGTTTAGGGCATTCGTGGTAAACTCTTTCGAGGGCTTCAACCTGCTCCGGCGTGTACCTCACATATTTTCCATTGTCCATTCCCATTTTACTCTCTTTGCAGGCCGAAGTCACCCCCATCATCACTTCAAAAATTTGAAACAACAAAAAATCCTCAATTTGCACAAACCAAACATAAACCCTTAAATTTTTTTTTTTAATCTTTTTGCCAATTAAACACCAATCTAATCCTAAATCAGCAGAGTATCAAAATCCTAAATCTGCAAATTCTGAACTCTCCAAATCAAACAAGCATATTGGAAAAACTAATCTATAGTTTCTAAAATCAAACCAAGCAATCCTTTACCTCTGCTAATATTCAAGATCTCAAACACCCAAAAGTTGATACCATTCAAAGATTATTATGACCACAAAAACAACTATACATACATATATTTATATATACAGGTGTATCTGATATTTTGTGAAGCTTATGCTTGAAGGTTTGAAACTTTTCAAAGGCTAAGTAACAAGAAATGTAAAGCAGAGAGAGAGAGTCATTACCTGATTTTTGAACCGAAAGGTTACCCACTTTTCTTTTTTTGTCGCGCCTACCACGTAGCATTAAGAGGGAAATTAAGATCTTCCATTAACGAATCGTCGAGGAAGCTATAAAGATGTTGAATTTTCTAGTTTTGTATCAACAACAGGCTTGGAAATTCTGTGATTGATAGGAAATATACAGACATCAAATATAGAAGACATAGAGATATAAAACACATTCAAAATTGTTACTAGTATAAATTATCTGATAAAAGGTGGTTTATATAGATTCATATATGCATTAATGCTTATAGATTGTGTGTGTATATATAAAAGTGTGTATTAGAAGACAGTGAGAGAGAGAGACCCCAAAGAGGAGACAGAAGGAGACCATTTTGGGGCATCATTTCATTTGCTGTTTCTCTTTTGCTGTTTTTTGCTACTACTACTATCGCTTCTGCTGCTGCTTTGTTCTCTCTCACTACTGTCACACACTACCAATATCAACTTTTCTCTCTCTCTCTCTCTCTCTCTCTCTCTCTCATAGGAGAAATATAAAAGTGAATTTTCTCACTCTGCGCGTGTTTCAAGTAAGCGTGGGACTCGGGTTACCGGATCCTCATCATTTTTTATTACTCAAACACTAATATAAATTTCAAAAATAAATATTAAGATACCGTTTGGTAACACTTACGTTTCTAGTTTTCAATTTATATTTATAAAAATTTTAAAAATTTAAATAAAAATTTGTTTGGTAAAATTTTTGATTTATAAATCAGTGGTCTCAATTTATAAATTTGACCAAAAAATAAAAACACAAAATGTTTCCGTTTTGAGTTTTGAGTTTTTTTTTTTTTTTTACCACCCAACACTAGTCACCACCTGCCACCATTTTCTACCACTGTCTTCCGCCGCCACCACCCACCCCCCACCACTACCTGCCACCACCAGCCACCACCACCCACTTACCACCCACCACTCACCTGCCACTCACTCGCCACCACCACCCACCCTTGCCACCATCACCTCCACCACCACCCACCTGCCATCCACCACCCGCCACTACCATCCACCGCCCGCCACCACCAACCACCCACCACCCGCCACCGTCACCCATCCACCCACCATCACCACCCACCACCACTCGCCATCCGCCACCCATCTACCACCACCACCCACCACCCGCCACCGTCACCCATCCACCCACCATCACCACCCACCACCACTCGCCATCCGCCACCCATCTACCACCACCACCCACCACCCGCCACCGTCACCCATCCACCCACCATCACCACCCACCACCACTCGCCATCCGCCACCCATCTACCACCACCACCCACCACCCGCCACCGTCACCCATCCACCCACCATCACCACCCACCACCACTCGCCATCCGCCACCCATCTACCACCACTCGCTACCACCCGCCACCGTCACCCATCCACCCACCATCACCACCCACCACCACTCGCCATCCGCCACCCATCTACCACCACCACCCACCACCCGCCACCGTCACCCATCCACCCACCATCACCACCCACCACCACTCGCCATCCGCCACCCATCTACCACCACCACCCACCACCCGCCACCGTCACCCATCCACCCACCATCACCACCCACCACCACTCGCCATCTGCCACCCATCTGCCACCACCACCCACCACCCGCCACCGTCACCCATCCACCCACCACCACCAGCTACCCACCACCTACCGTCACCACTTTCCACCACCGTATTCCGCCGCCACTCGCCACCACTTGTCATTTCTCACTTTTTTTATATTTTTATATTTTTTTAAACATTTTGTCAATTACCAAACATGTTTGTAGTTTATGTTTTTCTAAAAATAAACAAAAATCAGTTTATAAAATTTTTGTAAATATAAACTGAAAACGTAAACTTTGCCACTTCTCTCAAATTGACAATTTTGTTATTGAAATTGAGCAATGACATCTTTCATTATCTTTATTTTAAATAATATTTAAAATTCATGATTAAATATGTCACAATTGAAAAGTCATGGATCAAAGTGATACAAAATCTAAATTATAAGGATCATTAGTGTTATTCATCATAGAATTTATTATTATTTTTTGTTTGTATTTTTTTTAATAGTGATATTACACGCACCAATTAGTGTATAAACATATGTTATAATATTACTATTTCAAAATTATAACCCTATTCATTATACAAATTATAGAGATCCAAAACCTCTAAAATTATGTCATATTATCCGTTAGTATACTAATTGGTATATCAATTCGTATATATAGCATTATTCTTTTGCTAATCTATAAATTATAAAGTACTTATGAAATTGATGAATTGGATATGTTTAAAATGATTGACAAATGACTAATTCAATGCTTTTATATAAATAAGTGGCTCTACTAAAAAGTGTTAAATTTGAAAGATCCTAAATAGACAAAATCGCATCAAACCGAACCGTTTCGTTTGATGCGATTTGATAGGAGAAGCGGTCTCTGTATTAGGGCTCAAAATAATAAAACCGATATTATTGATTCAGTGAAAAATTTTACTTAAATATCAACCGTACTTAACCAATTATATCTCCATCTAAAATAGTGGACAAAATAGGTTATCTTAAATTTTTATAAAAAATTTTAAAAAAAATAAAAACACTTCAACTTAAAATTTTATTTTACTTACTTTTTATTCAGTTGGATAGAATTACAGAGGATTCGAACATTCTTAGATATTTGTAACTAGCATATTATTTAGTACTATGCACAGAATTTTGTGATTTAAAATGAGTTATTTGTGAAAAAAATTATATATAGTTCTCCTTATCAAATGATTATATATACGACTATCTTATGTGTTGATTTATAAATTTGTCCACTATCCATTTTTAAGAGTAGCATGATATTACTTCTCCTGATGACACTTGTCAAGTCTCTACCCTTCATCAATCATCATCTCTCTAATTTTCATCTTATCCTTGTTGACCACATCGACTCTTATTTAAAGCAATTTTACTACGCGATCATCCTTACTTTTAACTTCATTTCCTTACATTTCTCCCAAGTTGAACTCTACCCCTACTCACAACCTCTCTTCTCTAATTTCAAGTTGCCTCCACCTTTCATCCCATTGTTTGACCATTAAAATTATGGTTAACCATTAATTGATAATAAATTAGTTGAATTGGCATAAATTCTCAAATAAGTCGAATTCGACTCGTATAAAATAATGAATAATTTTGTATGTGTTGTATATACAAATACTAATAAATAAATAAATAAATGAATAAAAAAAAACTTCTAATTTTAGGAATTTTTGTATTGCTTTTATGATTATTGTTATTTTTTTTATCTATAAGATCATAATGATGAAATTAGTTGATGAGTTTTATTAGATTAAAATCGTACATGTGAGAACAACAAAGATAGCTAAATACATGTGTATACATATATATAGACAAATTTACATGGTTCAAAAAAATTACATATTCATAACTCAATACTACTCTTCAATTTTCAACTACTTCAAACTTAGACTATTAGCATTAAGAAAGAGACACTTTTTTTACACACATAGATTTGCAGAGAGTTGATTGGCTTGGGGAATGAAATTAAATATGGAGTTTGCTTACCTTGGATTTTTAGGTTGTTTAAGATTTCTAAAGATTTAGGTCTTTTATCATTTTTAGGAAGGTAATGTTGGGAGAAATCAATACTTCTTATATTAAGTGGGATATATGTTTTTGAATTTTGAAATTCAAAAGTATAGATAATTAAAGTTTTTTTTTTTAATAAATGAACTGACTATTTTTAAGCATAGATCATTTTTAACTTTTTATGTTTTTAATTGACATGATTTTCTATATTAGTGGGATATTTAAATTTTTAAATTTAGATTTAAAGGATAATTAGAGTTTTTTTTTTCCCTTAGTTGGATTAACCAATAGAAAGTTTTTTAATTATTTAAAATATAAAAATTCTAAAAATTCACGTTGAGAATTTGGAGCTCTCACAACCCTTGTGGTTAAAACCCCCCTTTGTTTATATAATATATAGATATAGATATAGGAGTATAAGATTCACTTTATATAAAATGAAACAACTCATTTTTTCCTTTTTCTCCCGGTGTAGGATTATAAAATAAATCATATCATAGACTAATTAGAGTTTTTATTTTAAAATTTAAATTTGTGTTAAATTGAATTATGCACAACACTACAATATTAAATGCAAGTATAAGATTTACTTTATATAAGTGAAACAATTCACTTTTTCTTTATTTTCCCGATGTGGGATTATAAAATAAATTATAAACTAATTATAGTTTTATTTTTATATGGTTAGGAAAAAAAATTTAATTGTCTAAAATTAAGAAAATCAGTATAAGAAATCGTGGTTAAATCAACAAATCTATCAAACCAAAAACGGTTAAGCCTAATCGATTAGGTCAAATGACCAACTAACTTATACAAAAAATTAATTAATTAAAACTTTTAAATGTTATTTTAATTTTAAAAGTTAAAATGGGAGTATAAGATTCATTTTATATGATTAAAACAACTTATTTTTTCCTTTTTCTCCCGATGTGGAATTATAAAATAAATCATAAACTAATTAGAATTTTATTTTTATATGGTTAGGTCAAAAGACCAACCAATGTACACAAAAATTAATTAATTAAAACTTTTACGTTTTATTTTAAAATTTAAATTTTATTGAATTGAAACATGCACAACATTACAATATTAAATGGGAGTATAATATTCAGTTTATATAAGTGAAACAATTCATTTTTTTATTCTTTTCTCGATGTGAGATTATCAAATAAATCATAAATTAATTAGAGTTTTATTTTTATGTGGTTAAATAAAAGCTAGTCAATGGAAAAAAATTTAATTATTTAAAATTAAACAAATTAAGAAAATTAGGATGAGATTTTGAAACTCTCATAAGCCTTCTCACTAGAAATTCTCATATTCCTTATATAATAAGATTAGCGAATCAATTATTGTCAAAGATAACAATTGATAATTTCTCCCTATTAGGATTTGGTTATTGAGTTTAAAACTGTTAGACAATAATTGTCCAGACAATTAATTTTCATAGTTGTAAATAATCTTCTATAGATTAAAAATAAAAATAAGAAGAAGATTTATAAGGTGATGTTTGATAATTTAATTAAGTATTTAAAATTGAATATATTAAATAAAAATAAAGGTAAATTATACTCATCTCTCCTGATGATTGCAAAAAAATATAAATAGTCTCGCACTTTTAACATAATTACATCGGCCTCTCTCAAAGTTTTAATTCACATCATATTTAATCCTTTTTTATCAGTAATTTGTGAATTGTATAGATGAAAAGATGATATTATCATCTTTTTTTCTCTACTAAAATATATATTTAACCATTATTTATTTCATTGTCTACGCACCATTCTACATTAGTTTTGATCACTTTAACTTTATTAAAAATATATCAATAAAATCATTTCAAACTTGTAGGGCTAACTATAACGAAGCCCCTCCTCAACTA